TCCTCCTCCTTCTCCTCCTCCTCCTCCTCCTCCAGCTGGACGCGACGCCGAAATCTGGTGCGCTTGGATCCAGGGAGGGGTCTGGGGATCCCTCCCGGCGCGATGGTGCGCGTGGCCAGCGGCGTCGGGTGGGTCGTTTCGAGAGAGTTTCTCTTTATTGGCTTTTGCGGAAAGGCTTCCCGATGCCCCTTCCGCAACCGCATGGTTGCCGGAATTGCCAAGGACTCGAAGTCTTGCTGGTCGGTATGGTTCCCGATCTCGGTCTGTAAGATGGCCGCGTCTTCCGTGGTGATGGTCCCGGCGAAGTACTCGACCAGCTTATTGTTTATAAGCAGATGCCCACTTATCCCGCATGGCGAGGCGTCCGTGACGATGGTTACCGGAATCGTGCGGCCCAAGTACGAAGCTACCGAGAAGGGTGATGTTGAGGCAGCTTGCGCTCCCAGCCAAGAAAGCAGAAATCCATCGCAATGCCCCGCTGACCTGCTTCGTCCACAAGAAGCATCAAGAAGCCGGGCGGCGCCGAAGATTCAGGGGATCTGGCATCCCCCGAGGTGCCCCATAGTTCACCCAGACACGCTCGCCAGGGGTACAAGATGTTGGCGACGTGGCCTGCAAAGCCGATGTACTTCCTCTGCTCTTTGATGCTGATGACGCTCCCGGACAGAAACTCGTCCGTGGAGACCTTCGGTTCATCGAGCTTCGCAGGGTCGATGTTTGCCGTCACTCCGACTTCCAGCGATGTTCGGGATATGTGGAACGATACCCAATCCAGATCGTGCCACGGCCCCGCTGCACTCTCCAAAAAGCCATCGGAAATCCCAGGAGGCGCCACGCGAACACCAGCAGTGCAATGCGCCTCCTGCGCATCTGCGGCGTGCCGCGCACTGCTGCCGCAGAGTCGTCCACGTGCATCTGCGAGCGAAGACATGTGGCCGACTTGCGAGAGCGCTCGGCGGGCTCGAAAAACATTGCCCGCGTGCGGCGCAGGCACGGCGAGGCAACGTCCGCCCAGCAGGAAGAGCCACTCCTGGGACCTTGGGCAGCGCGAGCATACACATTGTATGCTCCGAACGCTTTTACCACGAATCACGAGCGCTCCGAGGAGGCCAAGGGCATGGTCCAGAACGCGTCCTGTAAGTCGGGAGGAGGAGGAGGAGGAGGATTAGGAGGAGGAGGAGGAGGAGAAGGAGGAGGAGGAGGAGGAGCAGCAGGAGGAGGAGGAGGAGCAGGAGGAGGAGGAGAAGGAGGAGAAGGAGGAGGAGGCGGGAATGAGCTGCTCGAGGGTGTCGGAGATGGCGTCGCTGGCTCTTGGGAGTGGCGCGCGATGGGTCTGCCGAGTCGCGGCGGTGACGCTCGACCTCCGGAGATCCAAAATGACGCGGCGCTTATGGCGCCCATCCTTCTTTTTCGTAAGCAATGCCAATTTCGAGAGGATGGGGCGTCTTCGCAGGCCGGAGCACACGTCCCTGTGAGACTCGAAGCGCATGAGGCAACCCTTCGGGACGAATTCGGCCAACTCCGTTGTTGCGGGATTGGTCTCGAGGCTGTGGTAGCTGCAGAAGTTGACGTCCTCGATGGCGAGTTCCCTCGGGTCGATCTGCTCCTCGTTACCCCAGTCCGCAACAGGGAAGATGCCGTCGAGGTCAGGGAAGGACGTAACGCCGGCAGGGGCACCGCGCTGGAGCCACTGGCATACCCCGGAACTGGGGTCGCCAGCAGCGGTGCCCCAAGCTTGCGACAGATCGTGGCGGATGCAGGTCGAACACCGAACGTCGACGGAGGCGGGCGCGGCGGCTTCCGCCTCGCCGGGGCCATCCCCGACCGCGCGGGCAGAGACACTTCAACAACGCAAGAAGCTCACGGCGAGGCTCCGCCATATGCTAGCGTCCGACGGCCCCATCGCGCGTTGACCGACCGACGCCTGACTTCGGCGCCTGTTGTCGATAGCATCCATCAGGCCGTCTTCCATGGCAGGGTGGCGGCCGAGGAAACCAGCCAGGAAGTCGGCAACCAGTCGACGCCTCGACTCCTCGGGTTAGACATGTCGTCGCCCTCGTGGTTCCCCTGAGACCGCCAAGAGCCTGCTCGTCTTCTGTCCTGCGGGTCTCCATGGGGTCGGGATAGAGGGGGCGCAGGGATTGAGACTGGACGACTCGAGATCGCAACCGTTGAAGGGATCCTTCAGCAGTGTAGCCAACCTGGAGCGCCGGTGGTGAAGACTGCCAGCTCGGCGCCACGGCGTCGACAGCTAGGACCAGCTGATTTTTCCAGCGCCCGACGCGGACGAAGACTTCGGCCGGGGCTTCATCATCGAGTGCATCGGGGCGAGAACCCACGGCTTCCCGCGAGGTCCTCCGCGAGCCGTTCCCCTCGGCGGCGAGCAGCGCCCGGGCGAGGAGCTCGTTCATAGGGCCTGGGAGGCGCCACCATCGTGGCGGGTGGCTGCACGACTCCGGGACATCAGCCAGACGCGCTCCGAAGTGTTTCAAAATTGTCGGCCTGGCGGTCGGCGTGCCCAGGCCGCCCTGGAGCATGGTTTTGTTGTGGACGCCCTCCTGCTTGTCCAAGGCCGTGACATCTGGAATCCTGAGGATGCCGGGCTCGCCCTCCTCGGTACTTGTGGCGATAAAGATCCAAGGCAGTTGCCACCCCAGCAGGATGCTCGCCACCTAAGCGGCGCGGTAGCCCAGAAGCGCGCCTACTCGGACGCGTTTCCGATCTTCTGCAGAGCCACCAGCAAGACAAAAGATCTCTGGGACGGAAGCGCCCCTCAACGGTCTAGGGTGCGTCTCGCCCACGCCCAGGGGAAGCCCCTCGACGAACGTCGAACACGGAGGTGCGATCAGAGTTCCCTGGTACACGCCCTGGAGCAAGGCTTGGCGAAGCTGGCCCCATACCACGTCGTCCGCAAGATCTCCGATAGCCCTACTAAAGGCGAGGTCGCGCATGTCGACATCGGCACCGAGGTGCACGAGGAACGCGTCGAAACCATCCGCTCGGCCAGCTGGCCCGGAGCAGAAGTACAAAATACTGGTGACCGCGGGCGGTGCGGCAGACAAGGACGACGCAGCCAAGCCATCAGACAACCTGTTTTCCGCAAGCGGAGCTACAGCAATGATGTCTTCATCCATCAGCAGCGTCATTTCCTCGGTGCGGGTTTGCTGGCGCGCTGCGCGCACCTCTCATGCTCCTTCCGCCTGCGCCGCGCTCGCCGAGGGCGTTTCCAGAGGCAGCTCCGCGGCCACCATTGCCGCCCTTGCTGCTGTTGCTGGACTTGCCACCCTTGCCGCCTTTACCGCCGTTGGTGCTCGGTGTCTTGGGCGCGCGAGCGCACGGGCGCGGGTGGTTGGCACCGTGATATGGGGCAAGGCGTTTCGAGCACTGGTGCACCCCTCCCCGTGTGGACGCGCACCAGGTGGCCATAAGTCTTCCCGGTGCAGGCGCCATCCAGCCACCCCTCGCACGGTGCATCTCAGGACCGGCGGCGACGACGACGACGACGACGCTGTGTAGAGGCGCCGTCCTTGACGACGACGACGACGACGACGACGATGACGACGACGACCACGACGACAACGACGACGACGACGACGACGACGACGACGACGTCGCTGTGTGGAGCTCCTCTGCCCCCCGCCGTGGGCCCCCCCCCTGGCTGGCCTGCGGGGCGCGGCGGTCGCTGCCGGCCCGGCGCCGCGGGGCCCGGAGAGCTGTCCCCCGTCCACCCTGTCGCCGTCGTCGTCGTCGTCGTCGTCGTCGTCGTCGCCGTCGTCGTCGTCGCCGTCGTCGTCGTCGTCGTCGCCGTCGTCGTCGTCGTCGTCGTCGTCGTCGTGGCCGTCGTCGTCGTCGTCGTCGTCGTCGTCGCCGTCGTCGTCGTCGTCGCTGTCGTCGTCGTCGTCGTCGTCGACCCCCCCCCCAGAGTCCATCCGTCGCCGTCGTCGTCGTCCTCGTCGTCGTCGTCGTCGTGGTCGTGCAGTTCTCCATCCTGGATCCGGTTCCCACGCCCCCGGGGGCCCGAAAAAGGTTTCCAGAGGCTCAGAATGCCGAAAGATTTCTTCGAGCCTCGAAGTTCGAGTTCCTCCGGTGACGAGATGGTAGTGGGAGGAGGAAGGAAGGAAGGAAGGAAGGGAGGAGGAGGAGCAGGAGGACGCTGCGTTGCCAGGGCCCCGGTCCTGGTCGTGTGGTTCAGTCAACTCGGCTTGGTTTTAAGAGGACCACAGCCGGGACCATAGCCACGGTCGCGGTCCCGGTCTTGGTCGGGCCTTGGTCTCCGTGGTTGGTCGTGGTCGTCGTCGTCGTCGTCATCGTCGTCGTCATCGTCGTTGGCGGCGGCGGCGTCGGCGTCGGCGTCGGCGTCGGCGTCGTCGGCGCCGGCGGCGGCGGCGTCGGCGTCGGCGTCGGCGTCGGCGTCGTCGGCGCCGGCGCCGGCGCCGTCGCCGTCGTCGTCTTCGTGCGCCGCCGTGCGTCGGTCGTCGCCGCTCGCCGGTCGTAGCCGTTCGTCGTTCGCTGCCGCAGTTGCAGCCGCAGCCGCCGTCGTCGTCGTCGTCGTCGCCGTCGCCGTCGTCGTCGTCGTTAGGGCTGTTTTTTCTTCGTCCTGAGCCGATGTCTGACGGTCCCTAGGGCCCAGGAGCGGCTGCCAGAGGAAGGAGCGGTCGAAGACACCTCGCGTCGTGATGTTTCTCACGACTGCGAGGAGGGCCAGGTCGAGAGGGGGCGGTGCGAGAGCCCGAGAGTGCGAGGAGAAGCCGTGCTCCGCTCGGCGCGAAGGGGGCGCCGGGCGCTCTCGGGCCCCTGTCGCGGCCCTCCGGCTCGTGTGCGGGCGGGGACCTCGGCCTTGGCCCCTCAGCCTTGGCTGGCTCTTTAGCCCTTAGCACGGGGTGGACTGTCGTGCGCCGAGGCGGGCGCAAGGGGGGGGGGTAGGAAGAGCCAGGAGGAGGAGGAGGAGGAGGAGGAGGAGGAGAGGCACGACACCACGCACGGACAGCCAATGAAGGGCGGGCTCGAGCCGTCTCGGTTCAGCAGGCTCGAGCTCTCTCGGTTCGCCTCAGGTTGCGCTGACCTCGAGCTTCAGCGAAATCGGAGGGGCCAGTCCATGCCCGCGATGGCCTCTGCGAAGGAGCGTCTCGTGGAGGGTCTCCGCAGGCTGGACCCCGGCGGCACCGGCCGTCTGCCCCGCCCGGTCTTCGAGGGCGTGATGCGCAACGTGTGCCGGGCGAGCCCCGCCGGGCCGGAGTCCTTGGACCTCGCGCTGGCCCGCGCGGGCGTCGGCGACGACGTCCGGTACGAGGATTTCCTCGCGTGGGTCTACGAAGAGTCCGCGGAGGACCCTGGTCCTAGTCCTCGTCGTCGTCGTCGTCGCCTTCGTCGTCGTCATCGTCGGCGTTGTCGTCGTCGCCTTCGTCGTCGTCGTCGTCGCCTTCATCGTCGTCGTCGTCGGCTTCGTCGTCGTCGTCGTCGTCGCCTTCGTCGTTGTCGTCGTCGTCGTCGTCGTCGTCGTCTTCGTCGTCCTCGTCCTCGTCCTCGTCCTCGTCGTGGGGTGGGTACTCATGATGAGAGGTTGCGGGATGGAAGGGAGGACAGTCAAGGGTGGACGTGGAAAACGAGACTCGAATCCCCGGGGGGCCTGCGCCGCGGGGGGCGCAGCGGCCGCGGGGGGCAGCGGCCGCGGGCTTCCGTAGCTGTGCCAGTGACGCGTCACGCACACACACGCACACAAACGACACCGACCCGGCACCAACAAGGGGCTTTAACGGTGCATATTCCCCAGCCCAGCCCAAGGCCTGCACCCGGGGCGGGTGGGTGGGTTCAAGGGCCAGGGGGTGGGACCCTGGCCCGGATGCTTTCCCGAAACCTGCGGTTCGAACCCAAAACTTGCGGCGACGAGGAATGAATGCACAAGGCAAGCAACGCAATGACCTGCGAATGCGTGAACAATGCAAGCAGCGCCAATTGCCACAACACGAGAATGTATGCACGTGACATGTGAACAACACAACAACGTGAGAATGCATGCAGAGGCCCCCCGTGACTCTCCCTACGTTTTCCGGGCCGTACGAAGCAAGCATCGCCGTCTGCAGGGAAGGGGGGGGACGAGCGGGGCAGGGGGGGAGGGATCGGGGCGGCGGAAGGGGTTAGGGGGGGCTGGGGTGCCAGGGTGATGGGGAGGGGACGGGGGATGGGAGGGGGAGGGAGCTGGGGGAGGGGGGACGGGGTGATGGGGATGCGGGCGGAGACGGGGTGGGGAAGCCACTCTGGCCCCCCGCTGGCCTGCATCCCGCAGCATCACGCAGCCAGCAGGTTGGATGATTGACTGTGGTTCCCGGGGCTAAGTACCCTGGGCTCGCAAGGTCCACTGCGTCCAGAGCGGCGGCGGGCAGGCAGAGGAGGCTGGAGGCGTCCTAGGGGAAGGTGTCGGCGAGATCACAGGGGGAGGGGAGAGGAGGCGGGGGGGCGGGGACTCGTGGGCACACTTCTTGGGCACACCCTTCACACGCGTCGCACACTCCCCAGGGAGACTCGACTTAGGACCCTGTCGGTCTGGGCGCACCTCTCGTATGCTTCGTGCCCTAGGGGGGTGTCCGACCACCGCGACAGTGGGCACACTCGCTTTCGCCCGCTCCAGGAGCAACCCTCCGCGGCGACTACGCATTCTCAGAATGCCGAGCTCTCGGAGTGCGTGGAGGCGGCGAAGCAGAAGTTGGACTCCGAGGCTGGCGTCGCGCCTGGGCAGGAGACGTGGACGACCCAGAAGTGGTTGGGCACCTCCCTGACGAGCCCCATCGTTGCCGACGCGCTCAACTCCCCGATCGCCCCTGACACGGATCCTGCGCTGCAGCTGTTGTTCATGAAGTCTTTGGCGGAGAAGGGCAATCGGGACATGGTACTGGACCTGCTGCGGAGCAAGGCCGTGCTTGAGTCCATGGCGGACAAGATCTGGGGCGAGCTACAGGTTCTCAAGGACGCGACCGCTGTTACTGCAGAAGAGTTGAACGGAAAGTTTGCCCAAGACGCCAAATTCACAATGGCGTTCGGTGGTCTGAACGTTTTCTACGGTGGCCTGGAAGCCCTAATCGGTTCGCCCAGCGCCAGAGTGCTGGAGGCCATGGTGCACGAGCACTGCGAGGAGAAGGACTCGTCCAAGGAGTTTACGACAGGCAACTATGGCGTCACTACTACATCAAAGGCGGAGTGGCTATTCGTAGCAAATCCGGAGGGCGGGCCTGAGCAGGTCGGCTTGCAACAGTGGCCAAGGGAGCAGAAGTTGGTGGATTCGGGCGACATCGCGAAATGCCGACAAGTGCGTACCTCAGCAGAGCTGGACTTCATCTTGAAGGACCTCAATTCGAAACTAAAGAATGCCGAGCAAGCGACACTGATGCGAGAGGAGATGGTCGGCGGCGTGCTCTACACCGGCCCACTGTTCGTAAAGTACAACGCAGTGAACCGCGGCGGGGCCATCAACGTGGAGCAGGGCGACTACGCCAAGAAGCAGTTCCAGAAGACTTGCCTGGGCAACCGATACGTGACCACGATCCACGCCATCAATTCTTGCCTCCTGAAGCTCAGCAAACTTCAAAAGGCGGTCACGGTGTACCGAGGCTTCTCCGGTGGAGTGTTGCCCAAAGAGTTCTGGGAGGAGAATCGGGATGGCGTGCGTGGCGGGATCGAGTTCGGGTTCATGAGCACCACCGTGGAGAAGCAGGTCGCACTTTCGTATGCACAAGGAGGCGTCAGCACAGTGCTGGAGATCCAGATGGGCATGGTCGACCGGGGTGCAGACCTCTCTGTGCTTTCTCAGTACCCTCATGAGAGGGAGATATGTTTCGCTCCATTGACAGGGATCGAAATCGTGTCTGGTAGGGTGGAGGCCTCGGTGCTCATCGTGCAGACGCGCCTGAGCGTGAATTTGACCGCTCTCACGATCGAGCAGGTGATCGCCAAGCGGAAGCGGGTCATGGAGGAGATGCTGGAGAATTTGAAGCGCGAGGTTGTCCAGAGTCTCGCCGGTGTCTCCTGGCAGGCCCTCTTCAACGAGCTGGGCGAGGGCAAGGCCTTCCAACTCTTGGTGGAGCAGCACGCGTGCGACGAGCTCGACCGAGCGTTCACCGCCAGTGCCGAGAAGGACTTCAACAAGGATGACGTCTTCCAGAACGCCGTGCGAGCGTTCCTAGGCGGGGGGGCGGGGGCGTGCATGTTGCCCGGAAAGAAACTAGATTCTCTGGGGGGGGGGAATTGTTGGATCCTCCCGGCCGACCTTAACCTTCCGGCCCCAGGGAGGGGGAACGAAGAACGTTTGGAGCTCAACCCTACCCCGCCCGTATGGGCGGATTGAGCTCCTAGTGGTTTGAAGTTTCCAGTTCCGCCGGGCGCCAGAGGCCCGGAGAGGCCTCCGGGTGCCCGAGAGAGTCAGAAAATCAATAAGAAAAAAAATGAAAAAATTTAAGCCCCCCCCGACGAGGGCGACCACGACGACGACGACGACGACGACGACGACGACGACGACGACGACGACGACTACGACGACGACGACTTTCCTGGGAACTGCACGCGTAGCCCCCTCCGAGGCGTGTCTGGGGCGGTCCAGCATCAGCAGGCGGACTTGCTGGAGGTGCTCGCTGACAAGTCGCATGGCGCCACGGCTGCGAAGCTCCAGGAGCGGGCCGCTGTGTTCCGGGACGACGAGATGGTGATGCAGGCGGGCGGCTGCCACAGAAGCCCCGGCCTCATCCGAGGTCTCCCTTCTTCTGGGCCCGGTTCGGCGTTCGAGCCCGCGGCGATCGCCGAGCGGGGGGTCGGCCGAGCGGGCTCAACTCCAACAGGGTTTGTGGGAATCTGGCCCGCTCGGTTGCCGAACAGGCTCAAAACCGCGTCCGTTCGCCGGCCAGACGGCCTCGGGCGCCGAGTCGCCTCAGAGGGTAACCAGATCCTGAATTTAACAATTCGTAGTTGTTATGTCTCTTTTTGGGTTGAGTTTTGGGTGACTCTTTCCCCAAATTCTCTCTGTGATATTCTTCACGCTGTGCGTAGCTCCGCTGGCCCATCCAGAAACGATGCCCAGGAGAGTTGTCTGGAGGATGGGCGTAGATAGGTATGTAATGAAGCAGGGAGGGGTGCCATTGGTCGAGTAGGAGGAGGAGGCGCAGGAAGAGATGGACGAGGACGAGGACGAGGAGGAGGACGACGCCAAGGAGGACGAGGACGAGAAGGAGGAGGAGGAGGAGGAGGAGGAGTGGGACGAGGATGAGATAACTAGGGCGAGTACGAAGAGGAGCAGGAGGAGGAAGAGGAGGATGACGAGGACGAGAAGGACGACGAGGACAATGACGGGGGAGAGACGACGATGAGGACGACGCAGACGATGCCTCTTGGAGACATCTTGGTGTATTCTTAGGTCCTCCTCGGGGTCCTCTTGGAACTCCCTCGGTGCCCTCGTGAGGCCCTTTTGAGGCTCTTTAGAAGATTGGGGTCTTCTTGGGGCTCGTTTGGGGGGTCCTGGGGCCCTCTTGGGAGCTCTGGAGGTCTCTTGGGGCCATTTCGGAGTCCATGGATCACAAGAGGGGGGGGTCCCCGATTTGCTTCCCCCACATGGTGCCATCGACATCGCCTCTTTGAGCCCTCTTGAAGCCCTTTTGGGGTCCTCTTGGGGCTCTCTCGGGGCACTCTTGAGGCCTTCCTCGGCGTCGCCAACCGCGCAAGTGTCGCCCTTTTCGCTGGGCCCCTTAGGGGGTTAGCGGAGTGCGGACCAACTATGATCCACATTGGGCCTCGCCCTCCTGGATGCCGCCAGGGATGCAAGTATCGCCGTTCTTCTGCGCCCGTGACCAGCGGAGCGGCGACACGCGCGGAGCCAAACTGGACCTCGCCGTGCCCCGGGTCTGCAAGGCGCGCATCTGCGGCCACTGTCCTGCGCCTTTTTGGGGGGTTCTAGCGGAGTGGTGATACAGTCGGGGCCCTGAAGCAGGAACCCTTTTCGTTGGGGAGGGGCTCCGTGTTCCTTAATGGTTTCGCAGCTTGCCTTGGATTTTCCTTAGGTTTTCGATACGAAATCGAAGTTCAACTTATGGAAAATAGGGGCCTCGTTCCTTATTTAGGGTTCCTTAGGTCAACGCCCCCACTGTATCCTGCGCCTTTTTGGGGGTTCTGGCGGAGTGGTGATACACGCAGAGCCGGGCTAGACCTCGCTCTTCCTGGGTGTTGCCTCGGGCGTGCAGCAGTCGCCTCTGCCACGTACCCCTGGGAGGTCTGATTAGACCTCGCCCTCTTGCCGTGCTGCGAGGAGGAGGAGGAGGAGGAGGAAGCGGAGGAGGAGGAGGAGGGGGAGGGTGGGGACGACGACGACGAGGAGAACGAGGAGGAGGACGTGGAGGACGGAGGAGGAGGAGGAGGAGGAGGAAGAGGGGGGGGAGGACGACGACGACGACCACGACCACGACGACGACGACGACGACGACGACGACGGCGGCGGCGGCGGCGGCGACGGCGGCGGCGGCGGCGACGACGACGACGACGACGATGTTGAAGACGTTGCTCACGACGACGACGACTACGACGACGACGACGACGACGACGATGGCTGCCGGGTGCCGAACAGGCTCGATCCCGCGCCCGCTCGCTGGCCGGACGGGCTCGGGCGCCGAGTCGCCTCAGAGGGCGACCTGGACCTATGACTGAACAACACTCTTGGTTTTGGGTAGTTATTTCCCCAAACCCTCGCTGTGATATTCTTCACGCTCCGCGTAGCCCCGCCAGCCTCCCCCCCTCCTCAGGCAGCCGGGCCTGGCTCCACATGCCCATTTGCTGGCTGGTGCATGGAGCCCCTGAGTTCACGTGGTTCAACCTGTGCTCTCCTGGCCGTTGGCCGACTGTGTTGACTACGTCCACGGTTTTCTGACGGCAGTGTCTACGGTATTCGTGTTCACTCGTCCACGTGCTTGAGGCGTTCCCCTGCCCAGTTCCTGGTCAGTTCTCCTCATACGTCGGCGTCCGTGTTCGGGAGCGCGCGTGTCCTCAGGAGCGAGTGTGCGACTTCAGTGGCGCCACTCGTGCTGGCTCCTGGTCAGTGACGTCTTCCTGGCCATCGGTGACAGCTTTACCTCCTGGTATGCACTGCAAGCGAGCTGCCCCCTTTCAGGGGGTGGGTGCATGAGGACTCGTGGGGTTGATCCTGCGTCTTGTCCTCGCCCTCTGCGGCAACTTGTCAGCGTTGCGTGCGACTTTGGTGGCGCCACTTCCATGCCCAGGTTCCTGGTCAGTGAGTTCCCCCGGCCTTGCCGGTTTCTGCGATCCTTTGTGGTGGCGTTCTTGGCTTCATCCTGGTCTCGTTCCCGCGCTTGGCTGCGCCCCGACTTCGGTTGGCTTTTGCACGCGCGCGTTCCTGGACCTGGTTCCTGGCAGCTGCAGCCCACACCCCCTTCCGCTTCCGGTGATCTGAGGTGCCGCCCAGGCTCTCTTCGCTGGCGCGTTAGGCAATTATGTTCGCGCGCGGCCCGCCAGTTCCGTTACTCGCCGCCTGCGTTTTCGCTTGCGGTTGCGACAAAAAGGAGCCCCGCCAGCCCATCCAGACACGATGCCCAGGGGAGTTGTCTGAAGGAGGGACGTTGGTAAGTATGTAGTGAAGCAAGGGGGGCAACATTGGTGAGATCGACGAAGGGGAGGAAGAGGAGGCGGAGGAGGAGGAGGAGGAGCAGCAGGAGGAGCAGGAGGAGCAGGAGCAGGAGGAGGAGGAAGAGGAGGAGGAGGAGGAGGAGGCGCAGGAGGAGATTGACGAGGATCAGGAAAAGGATGAGGACGACGGGAAGGAGGACGAGGACGAGGACAAGCAGGAGGACGAGGAGGAGGAGGAGGAGGAAGAGGCGAAGAAGGAGGGGGACGAGGATGATAACGATGACGAGGAGGAGGAGGACGAGGAGGAGGAGAAGGATGAGAACGACGAGGACAGGGGAGGACGACGAGGACATTGAGGACATTGACGAGGGCGGGGACGAGGATGAGGGCGACACGGGCGAGGACTCCTGGAACCATCTGGTGGTATTCTTGGGTCCTCTTAGGGATCCTCTCGAGGCATTTCTGAGGTTTTTTAAGGTGGGCCTTTGAGGCTCCCCTGGGGCCCTCTTGGGAGCTCTGGAGGGTCTCTTGGAGCCATCTTGGAGGCCATCCATCAAAAGAAAGGAGGGTCCCCCATGTGCCTCGCCCTCTAGAGCCATCAAAATCGCATCTGTGGGCCCTCTTGAGTTCTTGAGGCCCGTTGGGGGTCCTCGTGGGGGCTGGGGAACTCTAAAGCGAGATGAGGGACGTAAGGAGTGGAAGCGAGCGTGCGCCTGCGGCCGCGTCGGCTCAAGCGGCCGGCCGCCCAACTATGACTGCGTTTCATTGCGAGGCACACAATCGCTATCGAGACCAAAAGGATCCTCCTACTGCTTGAGATGGCACATCCTCTCATACCGGGACTATGGCTACTACGGTACAGCAGAACGGGAGTCTGGCTTCGCTTGAGGCGAAGCTGCTGGCTGGGCCTCCCAGCCCCCTTCAAACTTGGTAGCGGATCTGGCCTATGGTGCTCAGTTCTTGCTCTACTCCTCACCATCCACGGCACTTTCTGGTGGATTACAGATATGGTGGAACATCAGGGTGCAGTGGGTTTGCGCGGAGGAATGAATATAACTACGCAGTACCGCAAGGAAACTTGCAGCGATACCTCTGTCCAAGCGGAGGTCTCTTACTTACATATTACATCCCTGCGCTACTACACTCCTGGAGTCCACCCACTTACTCCAATTGGAAATTTCTTCGAAGACATAATCCATGGAAACATGCGATACGACATATTGCCGCCTCCGACCCCACGCAGACTTACGACTAAACAACAGAAGTCCCAACCGACTACATCCGATTACGACCTACGAGGCCGTTGGATTGGTGTTACTATATTTGGGCTCGCATGGGTCGCTATTGGGTGTGCGGTAGGACATATGCGTGGCGGAGACGACACAAGAACGACCGGCCCCCATCGGGACCCTGCCGGTCAAGTACCTTTTCGCGAATTCGTCCGCGAAGTACATGCCTGGATCAGTGTGACCACAGGCAATACGACGCCCTCCCAGCAGGCTGCAGCGTTGCAGCGAAGTTTGGGAGGTCTCGCACAGACCATAGCCATGAGAGTCCCCCAGCAGTTATCCATTTTGGCGTCAACATAGGTGGTCGCCACACCGATGGCGCCACCCACATTATGTTCCTCTTAAGCACGAAGTTCGAGAGCCTAGAAGAGGAGCGCTAACTCAATTCTGGTACGGCTCTTATTGACTTTCGAGTCCATGCGGGTGAACGTATCGACCAGACGTTAGCACGGCTTGAGATAGCCCGCTACGAAGCTGAAAGAGCCGGCTTCAACATCCCCAATTTCCAAATCCTAACAGCGATTATATTCAGAGCCTTTGGAGTGGGGACATCGCGTGCACAACAACTCCTGCAGCCTCTGAACCACCACATGCCGAGAGACCTTCAACAATTTGACGCTCTACTTGAACGTATGAGGTCATCTGCTCACATTGCTGAGAGAACCCCCGGCAGTATTGGTGGTATCTTTAGTCACGGTCACCGAACCGAGACCTTCCATGTGGAGGCCAACGCAGGGCAACCTGCCAACAACGTCTGGAATGATGATCCACAGTCAACTGAGACCACTACACAGCTGGCTCAGAATGGTGGAACGGCTTCGGGGTCGCAAGATTCCTGGGCCAGACCTAGGGGACCGCCCGACGCGGTCTCCCCCATACAAGCCATGATCCTAATGGGCTCAGCGGGGCAACCCTCCGAGTCCGACTTCGACTCCGGCACCGATACGGTTACGTCTTCAGATGACGAAGCTACCGCCCTGGATTATTCTGATATGCCTACATACCTTACTGAAGAGCAACAAGCTCAATGCTTATTTTTTAAGCTATCAAAAACACAAGCGTCGTTGGCGGAGCTTCATGAAGAAACCAGTCCGAAAAGTAAGACGCATTGTACGACGATCAACTAAGGGAAAAGGCAAGGGTCGAAGTAAAGGCAAAGGCCAGCGTTGGCCATTACATGGCAGAGGCATACTAGCATTCTCGGCGTCTCTTACTGGACCTCAGCATGAAGAAATGCGCTTTGGCGCTGGCAGAAACCGCAGGCACACAACAGGCAAAGGCAAGGGATGGCGGGGAAATCCAAAGGATGCCAACGGTAAAAACAATGGAGCGCGACATATGCCACAGCACACAGCATTTTCGACGTGAGTGCCCCCAAGGTGATGGAAGAGGCAGGGGTCCGTCAATGCATTTGGCTCAAACAGACTCCGACGTAGAGTATGTTGATTGGGAGTCGCTATTAGCCGACTCTGCCGACAGCTCAGCCACAATTGTTCACTTCATGGCTGCCAGGTATCTCAGTGCCAGCATGACCTTCGAGAATTACGCCGACGAGCTTTTCGAGGAGGTGTTCACTGGCCACAACGGCATCGATTTGGCAGAATGGCTGGGTATACCCATCGCGGGGCAACCTGCAGATATTGACTTTGTCGAGAACTTCCACGCGCCCGCCGAAGGAGACTTTGGCATGGCGGGGGCACCCGCAGACTCAGAATCTATTATGCCTGCAACAGATGAAGAAATACCTGCGGTGCCCTATCCTCGGGCGATTGGAAATCCGACAGACATGTTATTACTTGCTGGTGATCCTCTGCGAGGAAGCCCGCGAGACGCTGGTGATCTATCTGAGCGCATTCAATATGAGCTCGGTCATATTGAAGAATTTCAATACACTTTTGCTGCATCAGATCGACCCATCAGCCGCCAGAAGCGATCTCCAAGCCGCCCAGCCTGGGGGAAGGAGAATTGTCGCGACGACGGCGAGGACGACGAACGGGAAGACAGTGACCGCACGATACGTCGCGGTCGGGTTCCCAGCCGCTCACCACATCGCAGGCGAGCCCGCTCCAGTGGCGCTCGTTCTAGCGGCGTTCAACGCCCTTACCCCCCTGGCGCGGGGGGGCCCCAAAGGCCCCGCCACGGCAGGCGAATTGACTGGATACTCATCCAGGGAGGGAGCGCTCGCGGGGACGCCCGCCTCTAGTTGACCAACCGCGAGGAGAGGAATGTCCAGCGGATAGCATACAGCGTCTCAAAGGCTACACGGAAGCTGGATTGGCTCGTCTGCACACACCCTCAGGTCAGATGGAATACTGGCTGGATCAGGGTTGGAGAGAGCATCAAATCCAGCATTGGCATTCTCTTCACAAGGTCAAACGAGATGAGGCAGGCAAGATCATACGCTCGACGAGGACAGGACCTACCAAATCACAAGATAAGATGGCCACGCGCAACGTCAAGAGGGCTATCATCGAGGAACGGAAGCTCTACAGAAACGTGCGTTGCTCATGCCCCGAATATATTTTGGCGACAGGCTTGGTTGCCCCATGAGACGTCCATCAAGAAGCACGAGTTTTAGAAGAACACCGTGGATTTGGTCTCATGGTTAAGGTCGGGGTCATTGCACCGATCCCAATACTACGCCATATAAAGAGCAGCTGACGGAGAGCGATTACGACCATGCCACAGCTGACGACATAGCCCGCATAAGCCTCGTTTGGAAAAACTTGACACCCACTCACTATTTGGCGCAGTTCAATCGCGATTGGCACGCAGAGAAACCTGCTGATCACAAATCAGAAGAAGAAGGCCAACGAGAAGCTGGTGAAGATGAAGATGATGAGATGGCTGAAGAAGTTGATCCTACGGACGCTGCCCCTG